AATATCGATAAATATCCCATCGAATATCTTTTTCGTATTAGTATTAAGAAAATTGCGAAATTATAATCATCAATCTACATAATAAACAAGCAAATAATCCCAAAACAAGTAATGCCTTTATAATCTTTAAAGAAAAATGCGTGCAAAAGGGCTGCTAAACTCCTTGTCGTTTATCTCCAACGTATGGAATTTTCAAGCCAAGAGTAACTAGAAATGTGCATTACACATAGCTACAAAGATTGGAATTAGAAGCTACAAAGACAATGGCTAAAGATTGATTCAGGGACTCTTGTCCTCTGCATTGTCTTCTTCCTTAGGCTGGCTATCGTTTACCGGTTTTTTCTCTGCATCCACATAGCGACCAGTCATTGGATCGACCAGGCGACTCTCTCTTTCTCCACCTTTACGTCCCATAGCTACCATTGGAGGAGGGGGGAGTAAACCGGATCTGAATAGGAGACGCTGAACCGGGTCTGATGGCTGAGCACCAACAGATAGCCAGTACCTGTACATGAACAAGAACCGAACAAAATGTCCATTAATCAAAAACTACAATGCATCCTTTGCTGAAATTACCCATTCAGAACAAGAACCTTGACTGAATGACCAAGGTTAATCTGGCATGTGTTCTGCTACTATCCGGACATCATAAACTTCATTTAAATGATTGAAAGGAGCGTGAGAAGATTCTAAAGCTACATGACCATAGACTTATGCAAACGAGGTTGTATAGGGTGAATGTTTAGGAATGCAACTACGCAGACGAATAGAAAACCAATAGGTTCTTCATCTTACAGTAAAAGGAAGTAATTACAAAACTCAGACAGAAGTTCCATAGAAAGATTCAAGACTGGTGGAGAAGTTTCATTTGATAAATACAAAATTTTGTTGATGAATTTGCCCAAGATTTGAGATTGGTTGGATTTCAATGAGGTATAACATTGCTTCAACTAACGATTAAATAGCATAACAAGAAACAAAGTGATCCAAACCAACCATGGGAAAACATGCATATTCACCTTACGATAATAAAAACCATTCAAGACTGAATTCAGCTCCTTTGTATAAGATCGAAAGACAGTTAACTATCACATAATGTTGACTATAAAACAATGCATTAAGATATCTAGAGCTACTTTAGCAACCAACCAAAACATTTCAAATGCAGAAACCCATAAGTTCAGAACAGTGATGATTCAAGTAAGTAGAATACAATTTCAAGAAACAAGATCATAGCAACACATTGCTCCTCTACTTCGACCACAAACTTTACTTTCTCAACATCAAAAATGTAATATAAAGTAGCCTAGTTTTCCAACTCCATTCACAAATTTATAAAACAAAGAGAGCTTCTGTATAACAAAGACAAGAGAAGAACATACTTTATTCGATCAAACTTCAGACCCATCCTCTTACCACCGTCCTGGCCTGCACACAACCGAAACAAAAAAAAAACGAGATTTGTGGATAAAGATCAACCGGAAACATGCGAACAAACACGAACTAGACATATTTGTTTCTTTTCACCTGGCAAAGGATTGAAATAGCCCAAGACCTCGAGATGCTTCCCGTCTCTAGGGGATCTGCTATCGGCGGCCATAACCCGATAAAATGGTCGATTTTTGCATCCGAATCTCGATAATCGAAGCCGCACCACCATCTTTCTCTCTTCAGTTTCTCGATATCTACCGAGAGAACGAAATGATCAAAGCCGAACAATCCGATTTTGGATAACGGGAGAGACAAAGGAGAGAGAGACTGAGCTTCAATTTTGATTCGATCGATAAGTTTAATTTAGGGTTCAGTTTTTTTTTAACGGAGTTNGGTCCTTCAAACGACGCCGTTTAAAGACCGTCACACTCGTCTTTTTTATTTAGAACCATTTTCACGGCGCCGTTAAATAATCAAGACAGTCCGTTTTCATCATCCGGACCTATAAAAAGAGGATTTATAAATCGTCAACCGCCACAACACGGCCTTCTTCCGGCGACGGCCTCGCCGAGACGAAGCTGAGTGTATCGTCACCGGTTGAGATTGTTTTCCGGCGGAGACAATGGAATCTTCCGTCGCTCCGGTTCCTTACCGACGCTCGCATCTGCCGAATCGGACTTATCGCTCTTTGCTTCACCACCTCTGCTCGAGTTTCGATCGGGAGCCCAGAGTTTCTCTTGCCACACCGTCTGTTCTCCAGGAGCTGGTCTTAAGAAAAGGTGAGTTCGTATATAGTTTTGAAGTTTTTCTAGTGTGCTTGATTAGGAATGTTTGATTCATCTTCTACCATCGAAATTCGAAATTCGAAGTTCTTCTGTTGCTCGATTTATTTGAATTGTATGGTTCTATTTCTGATGATTTTGTGTTTTCTGACAAAGAAATTGCTCAAGTGTCTCCGGGAGAAACTTGCGAACCTGGAGAAGTATGTCCTGTTGAAAAGCCACCGGAGAATTCATCTGTGCCGAAATCAAGATCCGCTGGAGAATCTGGTGATTCAAGAGCTGAGAAGGTGGAAAGGATTTCACAGGAAAAGAGTTTGATTGTTGGAGATGTTTTCGATGGACTTGACTTGCAAGATGCATCTGTTGGTAATCAACACAATGATTTCTTTGATGACTTTGAGCTTATGATAGATGTAAGTGAAGACATTGTTCCTGAAAATTGTGTGGATCTTTTTGAGGCATTGGATGTGAATGATTATGGTGATGATGGTATGGCGAAACAAGCACTTGATCTTGTTGATAATGTCGCAGAGAAGTCTGATATTGTAACTGAGCTTCAAGTAGATCTAGTAAAAGGTGATAAGAAGGTTTCTGATATTATTGAGAGTAAGGCAGAGGAAGTTCCTAAAACAGTTGAATCTAATCAAGTTATAAGTTTTGGAGTCTCGGAGAATAATAACGAAACACTTGCTAGAGAGATGGAATTGGAGAAACCTGTTAATAGTAGTCAGGTCTTGGCAGCTTCGGTGTCTCAAATGGTTGAAGATGAAGATGATGATGTCGAAGAAGGAGAGATATCTGGGAATGACAATGATGATAATATGCTTATAGCAGATGAATTAGAAGTCGAAAGGCACGAGGAGTCTCATGTATCTCAAGAGGTATTCGATAAACAAGGAGAAGGAACTAGTAAGAGTTCTGCTTCTACTAGTCTCTTTTGTGGAGTAGGATCATTACCAACTCTTGAAATCGTTGAAGAAAAGGAACAAAGACAGATTGGAAAAAAGCTTGATGTTGAATTATCAAATGTAGATAATGGAGCTAAGAAGAGTGATCAAACGTCCAATAACAGAGAAAAGGTATCCCAAATAAAAGTGGAATGTTATATTGCTTAGGTGTTTATAAAATCTGACTTGTATTACATCTTCGTATCTGCAGTTAGATCCTGGATCCAGCATTAAAAAAAGGTCTGTGCCTTCTAAGGAGGCAAAAGCCAGAAAGAAGGTAATGTAGTATATGCTTTCCTTTGACACAGTCGCATATCTGGCACATAGTTTTGTGTGGAATAAGATATATACGTACTGATAAGCTACTTTATGCAGGCAAAAGCTCGGAAAAAGAGAGCTCAAGAGCGTATAGCTCTTGGCGTGAAGAAGCTGAAACTGAAACCAGTAGCTCCGAAACCAAAGCCTATTAAATATTGCCGACACTACCTCAAGGGACGGTGCCATGAGGTCTGCACACTGGCTCTGGATTTTACAAATTTCCTTGGAATCTAAAACATTGTATGACTGTTGCTGATGGGAATTGTTTTTCTTCTTTTGCAGGGAGATAAATGCAAATTTTCGCATGATACAATACCGGAAACCAAATCTTCGGTAAGATTACTTTTCTGAACTTCTTTTCTGCACTTTATATAGCAGAGTCAATAAGACAAAAGCTTAATCATATTATATATTTTCTCTCTGGTCTACTCATTTGTATGTCTTCTTGTTGTTTCAGCCTTGCTGCTACTTTGCAACCCAATCATGCATGAAAGGAGATGATTGTCCGTACGACCACGATCTCTCCAAATACCCTTGCAATAACTTTATCACCAATGGTTTCTGCCACAGGGGTGATAACTGTTTGTTTTCCCACAAGGTAAAAAATCAATCTCGAGCTTCTCGTTATGCTTCTTCGGAGTCTGATTATATATTTGATCTATATATGTATCCTAATATACCAATCTTTATTCAACAGGGTGGTACTCCACAATCTACTTCAGATAGACCGAGTGCAAATGTAACAACCTCATCTACTAACATGGCTGCAGCGTCTTTCTCTTTTGGAATCTCACCTCAGAAATCAAATAAACAAAGCGTGAGAGAAGCCATAGCCAAATTACCGACGATCCAAGCAAGAGTTTCAAACCCAGTTGCGTTTTTGAAGCCCTCGAGTCAATCTAACAAAAGAATTTCATCTGATGCATCATCATCTCCGAAGATCGATGAACATGTAACACCTCCGCAGATTCCTCCTTTGAGAAAACCATCCGTTGCTCCAAAGGGTATGAGTTTTCTCTCGTTAGACAAAACCTCACAGGAGGAGGGTACTGAGAAACCGCATCTTGGATCCAAACAAAACACAAAGAACTCTGATAATCGGAGCTTGAAGCTGGCACAAGATAGAAGCATTCTCCCTCTGGAGCCTCCAAAAGGGACCAGTTTCTTATCATTTGCATCAGATGAACACAAAGTTCTGAATCAAGAGCCTCAAGAACCAGCAAGTAGTAAACATCTCAAGATAAGGCCTAACTCACACATTCAAAGTTCTCTAAACTCAGCTATGAAACTCGCTGCAGAATTCGAATCTGCTAAAGTTGAAAGACGCACAAATGATCAAGTAGAAGCTGTAAATAAGAGCAATGTTACAGTGAACAAAAGTATATCCAAAAACTCAGGGAACGTATCTTCCAAGATTCTCGAGTTCTTGTCGAGTTATAGCCATGGCAAAAACTGA